CTCCTGACAGAAAAGACAAAGGGTCTTCCCCATACTTCAAGCTTCACAAGGAGCATTGGGTTGAATATCTTTAGCTCATCACTGTATCCCAGGAGGGAGCACAGTGCCCAGAATGCCTCACAGGTAAGGAACGATTTCCTCTCACCCCATTAAACCAAGGGTACATGTGGAATATGTATCAGATTACCCTCTCTCTTCCTCTTCTCAATTTTTCTAGGTAGACATCTCAGTACCCACCCTAAACCTCCCTCTCTCGACCCTTACCGTGCCCTGGAGCACTAGTACACAAGTATGTTTACCAAGTCCTGTTGAAGCCTTCTGGGTAAATACTGCAAATGTGTTGCCCATCTCAGCAGCATCAGCATCAACTGGGAGCTTGTTAGAAATGTGGAGTACCTGGACACCCCTGAATCAGAATCCACATTTAACAAGATCCCAGGATGATTCGTATGGATGTTAAAGTTTGAGATGCACTGATCTAGGGTCCATATCAAACACACATTGAACAAACTTTACTTCTTGTAAAGATGTAATGGCAAGGAAGTAAATTATATTTTAGGAAAGAAACAGAAGATGGCTTACCTCTTTGGGGGAGAGTGAAAAAATATTTCCAATCTATAATTACATTAACTAACAGCTTTATGTTTGGAAACGGTTTTTTGGTCCCGTATCTAAGTTGTTTAAAAATACAAATTTTTAAGTCATAAAAATATTTATTATATTGTTACTTTAGCATGATTTTGGCAAAAAGAAGTGTAATAAAAAGCATTTGTTGAGGATTAATGAAAAATTAGAAGGAATGGCTGGCTTGAGACAAGCTTGAAAGCAATTAATCCATCAAGTTAGTAATTCTTAACACACGCCTTATCTTGAAGTTGCTATTGTTTCATCCACAGACCACTGGGAAAAGAAAGACAGACAGAAACAGGGCTTTATAGATCTTTTCTCATAATCCAGGCAGTTTCATTTTGTTGTTTGCTAATATTTTCTGGAGGCCCTTATAGAGAACCACTGCTTTGTTCATTAACCTTTCAAATTGCTTAATGTTTGCAGCATACAGTGAAATATGATCTATTGCTGTTACTTCAACATTTCATTTAATTCCCTTTACTACATGTAGAAAATGTAGTGTCATTTCCAAACTCATTATGCAAATACTACACTTAGGTACTGTTATTTTTACTTCCATTACCTCTATTCCACGATTATCCCTGCCTGCTGCGAATCAGAAGTGTCAAACTACATATGTAGATTTGTGAGATTTTCTTGGGTTTTGTTGTGATGCTGAATGTCTCCCACAGACTCAGCAGAAACTCAGCAGAAAATTGTATTTGAATCAAATATTACATTCTGCATTTTCAAATATTACAGTTCTAATATGCCATCTCAAGAAAAGTCTTATAGTATATACGCCTTAAGAATTAGCTTAGGAAATCATTTCAAACTTAAAGAGCCAGAGAACATCTTCACTCAAAACACATGCATGTCTGTATGTTCAGTGAAACTTCTATCTGAAGATGGTATTCGGTTCTAGGTTAAACTATGGGAGGATTCCGTACCATAAAAAAGTTTAAAAGATGTAACAAAACACAAGGTCTTATCTTCAATATAAGGCTTTAAAAAAAATACAACAGGTTTTACTTTACATGTTTATAAATAGAGTAGTATACCCTAAATAAAGTTATCTGCTTTTACATGAAATAAAAATGTATTTGAATTTACTCAAGTTTCACATTATTTGTATTTCAAGGAAGTGTCCCGTTTACAAGCTCATATGTTAGATCATTGTTATTCAAAACACAAGATATTGAAATACAAAATGTCATTTTTCATAACATAAATAGAATTTTCTCAGTATGTTCATCATTATTCTCATGTTGGTTTAGCTTCATGTATGCACACATAGCTGTGCATATGAGTAATGCACAGCAGACCTAAGAGTGTTTGGATAAAGAATTTTCCCCCTTTCCCAACTCCTCATTCCAAAATCCATTGATTCCATCTCTTGCTGGTTTTCAGCAACCTAATTAATGGTGGCCAAAATCTAAACATTTTTTATCAATGGACACTCATGATCTGAGCGCAATTTAGTCTTTTGAAAGTCCCCACCTCACGAAGATCAGTATTTCATCAATCATTGCCTGTATAGTAAATTTCTCATATATGTGTATGTGTGTGCTTCTTTATCTTTAAATAAATGTAGATATAGTTGTGATTAATAGGATGACAATACACTTGAAGGTATTCTTAAATTGTCATTATGTTTTTAATCTAATCTATCGGATATTTGTCTAACTCTTATAAAAAGAAATTTATCACTCTTAAAAACAAAAAATTAGATTTTATGACTGAAAATGTGGATAAAACTATTCTAGAGAACAAGAAAAAGTGTTGAATAATTGTGTGCCTTCTTTTGCTGCACAAATGAAATCCTTGCTAACCACTGAGCATCCATTTAGTGCCAGACAATGTACTAGGTATAGATGACCACACCAAAATGTATATGCATCAGTATTTGCCTTGAAAGAGCTTATAATAGGTCCAGATTTGGGAACTGGGGCATGAGTTTTCATTTTTAAGTTTTCATATGATTTAGTAAATTTTAATACAATAACATAAAGGACAATATGTAAAATAAATACATTATGGATTATATTAAAACTTTATACAGAAAACTAGACATAGTGCATGTATGCATGTGTGTGTGTGTGTGTGTGTGTGTGTGTGTGTGTGTGTGTGTAGTTCCTCTAGAAGTGATAACATGTCTTATAGCCACCTTTAAGAAAGATGGTGATTGGTGACAGAAGAAAATGTAGATTACAGCAGATGCAATATACAACATCTACTACACATTTAAAACACTGTCTTCAATAACTTTAAAAAGGCTTTGATTTGTGTGTACTTTTACCAGTTCAATAGATTTCTTCAACCTTTATTATATACTGACATCCTGAGATATTGATCCAAACATATTTTATCACTAAAAGCAGTTGATGTATTTAAGCATCTAAAGATTTTGTTTTTAGTGCACTTTCATGTATGATTCATTTCCCCAAGATCAACAATTTCTTGACATTCATTTAAAACACAGGGTTAGAAATATTAGAGTCTGACTTAATTGACTCTTAAATTTAACAGTCATAAATACTTACAGATTTCTACAAAACCTGGTCTTGGATATGCCCTAAAACAAAGAGTATTTTACAGCAAATACTTTAGGTGATGTGTGTTTTCACTAAGCTATCTCTTGCTTGAAAAAATTATCCAGTAAAAATTATTTTATTAATGAATGTATAGATTCCTTTGGTCAAATAAGCAGTGTGTTTACGCACTTAAATATTACTGTAAGTCTTGTGACCCTTTCAGATTTAACTTTTTCTTCCAAATGGTCATTTAGAGTTTTATGGTTTAATACACAGGCTAGATTTTGAAGAGATTAGGATCTGAGGAGTGGATTTTGAGAGAGTAAAGTGTTTTAATTTTCAGGTTTCTGAAACATTGTATTAACCAACTCTGTAACTTTCCCTAAAATATGGACAAATTCATTGTATCATTTGTGGAATTACTAGTAATTATTTGATATTTAGGCAGAAAATGTTAAGTATTAGATTAAAAAGTATATTAGTCTGTTTTCACACTGCTATGAAGAAATACCCAAGACTGGAAAATTTACAAAGAAGTTTAATTGATTCACAGCACTACATAGCTGAGGAGGCCTCAGGAAACTTACAATCAGGGTGGAAGCAAAGACCTTTTTCTCCACATAGCAGCAAGAGAGAGAAGAGCTAGCAAGAGCAGGGAAAACTGCCTTATAAAACTATCAGATCTTGTGAGAACTCACTATCATGAGGGGGAAACTGCCCTCATGATCTAATCACCTCCACTGAGGCCCTCCCTCAACACATGGGGATTATGGGAATTACAATTCAAGATGATATTTGGGTGGGGACACAGCCAAATCATATCAGACAGGAAATGAAAAGAGATTCAGCTGTTCAATGTAATAAAGTTTAAAAAAGCTTATTAACCAATTACTTAACTAGTTTTACCAAATAGTTGATGAGACTATTTTGAAGTGCTGGATGATGCATTGTATATCAGGAACATAATTTGGCCAAGTTACAATATGGTGGATGAGATGGTGGCAATTAAGATGAAAACAGGCGTGGTGAGTAAAGAGGTCATAGGCATTTTAATTTGTAAGTATCTTTTATAGTGCATCTTGGCATATTTTTGGCAGGTCAAGAAAAAAAGTCACATTGGAAAATCTTAATTTACTAAACATTGATGGAGAGGAGAGCCCATGATAGAGCAGGACTAAAAGGAAAGATCTCTGTCCTCCTCTTAATTTGCTTTAATTTATAATCAAGTAATCAAAATATGTACACAAAACTGAATGTGACTTCTGACTATACTGAATAAAAGTAAGTGAATTAACCGGTTACTAATTGATCTGTATTATCCTAAACAATTGTTGACAGTAGTAAATCAACTTCTTTGGCCTAATATAGCAGACAAATACTTTGAGAACACCTGGTTTCAACAGGGTGTTTGGACATTGGGTATAACACTATTTATTTAGTTCAGAATATGTCAAGCACTCCTTTAAGTACTTTATCATATATAAGATAGATGTCATCCATATATTTGTTCTTCGTTACAAAATTAATGAGTCTTCAATACTAAAGTGTTTACAACAATAAGGATAAAGCAGCCAAATCAAAATGCATTATTTGGAACGTCAATGGCCCAGTTTTAACACCTTCATTGATTTACCTATTAAATAGCTTTTAAGCTCTAACTATTAGAATAGTTCTAAGCTCTTAAGTATTAGAATAGATCTATCACTGAAAAAGCTATGTATAGTTTTTAGTAAATGCTTGAGCCCCCATGGAGAAATAGCCCTGCTTCCTTGTAGTTTGTTTTCTAGTGAGGTATAAATAGAACAAATAGATAGAAATCTATTTGTTCTATTTATTCCTCACTAGAAAACAAACTACAAGGAAGCAGAACTCGGTGGTGGCCACTGCGCAGACCAGACTTCGCTTGTCTGTGCGCCTCTCTCCGCTTTTCCTCCGCAATCATGTCTGACAAACCCGATATGGCTGAGATCGAGAAATTTGATAAGTCGAAACTGAAGAAGACAGAAACGCAAGAGAAAAATCCACTGCCTTCCAAAGAAACGATTGAACAGGAGAAGCAAGCAGGCGAATCGTAATGAGTCGTGCGCTGCCAATATGCACTGTACATTCCACAAGCATTGCCTTCTTATTTTACTTCTTTTAGCTGTTTAACTTTGTAAGATGCAAAGAGGTTGGATCAAGTTTAAATGACTGTGCTGCCCCTTTCACATCAAAGAACTACTGACAACGAAAGCCGCGCCTGCCTCTCCCATCTGTCTGTCTGGCTGGCAGGGAAGGAAAGAACTTGCATGTTGGTGAAGGAAGAAGTGGGGTGGAGGAAGTGGGGTGGGACGAATGTGAAACCTAGAGTAAAACCAAGCTGGCCCAAGGTATCCTGCAGGCTGTAATGCAGTTTAATCAGAGTGCCATTTTTTTTGTTCAAATGATTTTAATTATTGGAATGCACAATTTTTTTAATATGCAAATAAAAAGTTTAAAAACTTAAAAAAAAAAAAAAGAAATCACAGTTACAGAAATTGTTAATGCTATGATGGAAATAAACCATTAAATAAAGTAAAACGAATATAAAGTCACTTAATTTGGCATCAGGCAGAAACCATTTGAAATCTGTGGCCTACTCTACAGAAAAAAAAACTACTTATAATGAGTTTGAACTCTCTAACAAGGCACATGCAAGCTAAGGAGTCATATAATTACTTCTGACATAAAAGGTAAATCTACAAACAAATGTAGATGATAATATTTAATACCTTTGTAGAGGATGTTGCAGAGATCAACACTCTTTTAATGAACCATTAACACTTAAAGATATGTATTAAAATGATGCTAAGATTAGAATATAGCAAAAGGAATAAGAAAATTTAATAAACTACTTAATACTTTAGTTTTGCTACAAGACCTACTATTTTACACACTTCAGATCAGTAAGTGAGGAATAGTATAATAGGTCGATGATGTCAGACAGAGCTTCAGGGCAAAAAAAAAAATAAGACGTGGCCAAATTCTGAGCAATGATATGTAAAAAATGCTTCATGATATTTTTTTCTTTCAAATAAATCCCTGTCCCATTTTCTTAGTTAATAAAGTGATAGTTTTTAGTGTCTCACAGCAGTATCTTTTTCACACTGATTTATAAGAGAAAGACAATACTTTATTCAAAGCATTCAATCATTTATTGTCCCCTGAATCGTTGATGGAGTTGTTCAATCATTTATTTATTGAACAAATATTTACTGAGCAACTATTACAGTTCTTCCTAAGCCTGATTTTGGTATTTTAGAAATATACAGTAAGCTGTCTCACACTTATAAATCATACATAAATTAGCGCAAAGGATGATAACATAGAGCAATTATCTGCATGTGTCCCTCATGTCTATTTTACTTGGTTGGATTCCTACAAGTGTTTACATGGTGCAGAGCATCAGATTACTTACCAAGAATTTCCTTAGGACATCATTTAGTTGTGCTGAGTTGTTGGATACTTCATGACATTACCTAGACACTGGTTATGGCCACTTTTATGTTTAGGAAATATGCCTATCACACAAATGCTAAATGGGAATTGTGTGATTTATATACATTCAGCATAAAATTATATTCATTATATATGCAATATTGAGCTCTTTAAAAAACGAATAAACACACCATTTGGATAAAGCATAATACAGAGGAACCAAAAAAGTATTCTGTTATAGCTAGCATTTATTAGACCCTTACCTAAAGACTATGTCCAGACTTTAATCCACAAACTAAGGAAAACGTAGATTTAAGGACAAAATGAGAAAGAAAAATTTTAAATTAAAAATTCAGATAAGGAAATATCAAATTAAAATCGCTTTTTGTAAAGATTAAAAAAACTGATATAATTCAGTAATGTAGAGTTGTACAGAGCTACTTGATAAAAGATATTGAACAAATGTTCTCTATAGTCCAGAGGGTAGAAGTAAGGAAGGAAGAAATGGGAAAAACAGTTAGTTTAAGGATGTTGTAAAATGTCCTTCCTCAAACCCTTAGTCACCAGTATACATGATATTACTCTCATCCTCTACAGGTCATTTCAAAGGATTTCTACTTGAAATCTAGAGCTATGACTTTATGTCCTTACAAACCACAATTGCTGTTTTGATTGAGTTTGAACTATGTATGTGTAAGGCATTTTTTATGGCTTTATATTCTAATACCACATCAATGCTGCAAGATAGGTGTTATTAAACCTGCTTACCAATGAATTAACTCAGCATGGGGTTCCAGCACCTCATCCAAGGTCACGCAAAGGCAGAAAAGTGAATGGTCCCTTTAGAAGCCCGTAATTTCTGTAGAACTTGGGGCTTGTACCAATGCCTTTGCTTCATCAGGAAGGCAGAGAGTGTGTAGATTTGCTCTATCAAATACATAGTTCTTCAGAACCCGGCAATCCAATTGCCTTTGAAATGAGAGTCTCTAAATAATAAAGTTGCACTGACTGGCCAAAGTTTCTGAGTCACTATTCAAATTCTAGCAATAACTTTATCAAAAGTATAGCTATTTATTTAGGATGAGTAGGCAATGAAATACAGTATTTATGCTGATAAAGTTACTTGCAAATGCTGAGGCACTAAGCACAGAGAATTTCAATTACTGTGACCCAATAGGGTCTAACAATAGTGAAATCATTAAAGGTTTATGTACCTGCAAGTAATAAAATATTGTTTTCTGAGATTGAGGTCTCAACAGCAAATTCCAACTTAGTCATACAAAATAAATGAGGTAAATAAGATAGAATCTAGTAAAGGTGTCTACAGTTCCATATATTAGGAAACTTGAAATATCTAAGAAGGCATATTTGAAATTAATGGTGCATATGGAAGAAAATTTTAAATGTCATTCTTGCAAGGAATGTGAGTGGGATGAGATAATGAAAGTTTATTCAACTTTAGAAATGTACCAGTTCAAAATGGTCTTGCCCTTCTAAATAATCATTTATTTTCATGGAAAATATATTAAGTCAATAGTTTTCATTCTACTTAAAGAAAACTTTTTGTGTTGATAAGTGAGGTAGAGGGGCCTGAGGAAACTTTAAAAAAACATGAGCTGCAGCAGATATTCATTATATTAGCTCATTCTTAGTTAATAATAGCTATAGGAATGTGCCCAAATCTGAGCCCTTCAAAATTGTTCAAATACATTTAACAGACTCTTACTATGCATGTTCTTTCCATTTCTTTATATTAATAAATATACATTGAGTATAATAAATATTAATACACTGTCACCATGTTCCTTCCATTTCTAGATATAGTTTACTTTTACTCTCTTTTATACCCTCCCTCACCCTTTCTTCCTTCAATTATAGGTCCCTCTCATTCCATTCAATGAAATGCAAATTTCGTCTCATCTCAGGTCAAGAACAAATGCCTTCCACAGTGTAGCACAACAACTGTGGGTTAATGACCCTGGGGACTTGAAGCCCAAGGTAAATTCTCAGTGTTTATTAGTTAAGTCTGCCATATCTCTCCTGGAAAGGAGACTCCATCAGCTGCCAAATCCAGGTGTGTACAGGCATATAAAATTCCTTAAAGTTCTTGAATAATTTTTTCCAGTTCTTTCTGATTTACTCTTCACCTTACTCTCATTATATCACCTTATATCATCTGGTGCCAGTCTCATGTTATCTAATGGGAGATACAATCACTGGCATTGATGTGGGAATGTTCTCAGAAACTCTCTGCCCCATATTATGTTTGTGTTCACATTTGCACAGTTGTGAGTTTTTATAATGTCACAGAATTCAGGCTTTAAGATATATTTTTAAACAGGGAAATATTAATAAGTAGAGTTCAGAATATCTGTTTTACATGCCAACAATTAAACTATATATTTCTAGCTATTTAACGTAGTGCTCTGCCCATTCTTTCTCTCAGTATCAATTATAAAAACTTTTTCATACTCTTTTCCCTATAGCTCTCACCTAACCTAGGTGTCCAACAAATACACGATATTTATGTGAACTCCAGCCCTCCTCTCCATGTTTTTTCTATACCTAAATACTCTTCCCAGCATTCCCCATAGTGTACCATTACCACGACCACAATCACACACATGCACATTCACAACACTCCAGCATCCTATTGGAGATTGTGCCTCCTTAACAGGAAATAACTTCTTGCATATTTCCTCCCTCTAACACAAATGTTCACTTCTTTACAGTATTTCTCAGGTCAGCAACCAAACATAATGAGATAATTCTTGCTAAGGTGCTAAGGATTTAAGGAAATATTGGTATTTTAAAAGCAACTTTCATATGCCACACAATGCTTCAAGGAACTAATCGTAACTAGTATAATTTTAGACCAAAAAAAATACATTATAAGGCAAATATTTGGGAGCAGAGGGATCCTCACATCTTATAATATCTTCCATGGCCATACATAAAATACTTTTTCTGTAGACTGAAAATATATCTTTTCTCAGTTGCCTCACCTAGGAAAGACAGCACAATGAAATGAGAAAATCCACTGGATCTCATGGTATTCAAAAGTATTGGCATCTCTATACAGTTTTGCAATGAGTAATGTTTCTAGTATACATCTTAAACTGTCTTAATCTCAACTTTTCCATATAGGAATTAAGTTTTTTGACATTAAATATATGATTCTATAGTATTATGTTCTTAGAACTTAGTTCATCTGATATTTGTATTGTGAAATAAGGGCATTGATACAGTTTGGTCATGTGTTGACCCAAATCTCATCTTGAAATGTAGCTCACATAATTTCCATGTGTCATAGGAGGGAACGAGTGGGGGGTATTGAATTATAGGGGCAGGTCCTTCCTGTGCTGTTCAGGCGATAGTGAATAAGTCTCATAAGATCTGATGGTTATATAAAGGACAGTTCCCCTGCACATGCTCTCTTGCCCACAGCCATGTAAGAGGCGACTTTGCTCCTTATTTGCCTTCTGCCATGATTGTGAGGCCTCCCCAGCCATGTGGAACTGTGAGTCAATTAAACTTCTTTCCTTTATTTATTACCCAGTCCTGGGTACGTCTTTATTAGCAGTGAAAGAACAGACGAATACAGTCATGAAAGAAAAAAAAATACAGATAGAAGAAAAGAAGTTTTTATAAAAAATGAGAGTTAAGCCTTCAAAAATGTAAGATAAATCAAAATATATATACTTTAACAGAATACATGAGTTTAGTTCTGGTACAAAAACAGACACGTAGACCAATGAACAAAATAGAGAATTCAGAAATAAGGCTGCACACCTACATTCATCAGATCTTCTACAAACCTGACAAAAACAAGCAATGTGAAAAGGATTCTCTATTTCATAAGTGGTGCTGGGGAACTGGCTAGCCACATGCAGAAAATTGAAACCAGATCCTTTCCTTGCACCTTATACAAAAATTACCTCAAGGTGGATTAAAGACTTAAATGAAACCCTAAACTATAAAAACCCTAGAAGAAAATCTAGGCAATACCATTTAGGACATAGGCATGGACAAAGATTCCCT